TAAAAATTAGGTATTAACATACGCCATCACTAGGCATATACTCTCACATATTTTTCCAAGCACTTCTCTATAGACTATAGGCTTGACATATCGAAGTCTGCATCCATATTAAACTTAAATTGTTTCATGAATACTTCAACTAAATTATTAAATTTCTTAATCTTTATTTGATTGAGATCAATAAACCAATTCAAAGCGACACCATCGAGACTTTTAGGAAAAAAGTGAATCAAAAGTTTTTCATCATAAGTAACTTCTATCGTCTTATTTAAGTAAATCCCGAGATAGGTTCTATGATATTGACTCCTAGTATATTTAAAGTGTTTAAGTATTTTAAACTTTCTACGAATCACAATATTCAGAATTAAACATTTATCACCAATCAAAAGAAGATCATACGTGTTCACGCCCTCAACTGACTTTGAGATATTCCTTCATGGCACTACGCTTCTCGGTTTTAGTATATAATATTATTTTTTTCTTTCATATTTTCATTAATAGCCAAAGAAACTATCCGAGTTTGTAAAGTATATGAATGTCATGGAATCGAGCTAGAAACTTCGAGAATAATTGGCTCATATATAGCCTTAGGCGTAGTATGATTGGTTGGATTCTTAATTCTAATAGCCTCTTGGTAGGGATTGGAGAAATGTGGCATAGGAATCACCACTTAAGTGGTGAATATTCGTATGAAAGTAAACATCTCAAGGATATCGGATGGCTGACCCATTTCTTGATTAGGGTACTCAACGAGTGTGCAAGTATATAGACTTTGCTCAAATAAAATAGTTAGCCTAGATACTTCTTCTTTCAAAATATCTAACTCTTTCGATATTTTTGCTTGAATTGAGCTTTTTCTTTTATGTTCATTTTTGCTTTGACTTAAGTTATCAACTTTTGGGAGGAGGGGAGGGATGCGGTTTTAATAAGGTGACTTATGCTTCTCTACTTAGACTAAAAAATAATAAAACAGAACAATATAAATAACATATTAACATAAATAAAGATGCTTGAGACTTGGATATGGAGTAGCCATTATGGAGAGTGACTAGGGATGAGCAAACTTTGATCAAAATTAAAAAACCAAACCGAACCAAAATGCCATTTTGGTTTGGTTTTTCATTTAAATTTATTTAAAAAATAAACCAAAATTATATCGAGTTTTTGGTTTTGATTTTGATTTTAAAAATTTTTAAAATGGTGTCCACTAAAAACAAAACATTACATTTAATTTTATTTAATTTAAATTAAAATAGGATTATAATTTAGTTAAAGTAAATTAGGCTCATCATTTTTTATTGGACTCCCAAAACTTCAAAAGCGATCTACAAAAGGCCATGAATTTTGAAGCTCAAAAGTCCACACTCTATTGGCCACAACCCATAAGCAATTGAGAGAGAAGTCTAGCCTTATTTATAAGCTAACCCCCACCCTTTAAAAGTGAAACTAAATGATATGGGATTAAAGGGATGTTGAAAAGGTGAATTCACTAACTCATAATCCCATATAAAAAATGAAGACTTTTTAAAAGTTTGAAAGGTTTATAAATAGGCATCTCACTAACAAAATCTAACAAACATACAAGTCATCCCACATTAAAAAATAACTCAATAATATGAGTTCAAAAGCTTTATAAATATCAAAGGTTATGGGGGTAGTGAACTTATGCTTTATGCATCATCTTCTCTTGGTTTGCCTTAAAAAATTCTCCGAACTTTTATTCATCAATGATAAGTTTCGTTAACACCGAAAAACCAAAATTTAAAACTAAAATATTTTGTAACCAATATTTGAAAATCAAATTACAATTTGGTTTGGTTTGGTTCTCATTTTATTATGTTTGGTTAACCAAAAATCAAAATCAAATTGTTAGAAACCAAATTGAAAAATTGTTTGCTCACCCTTAGGAGTGGCAAAAGAGTTCTCTTTCTATTTTATTCCTTTGCCTACGAGTTTTGTTGCAACGAGTTTAAAGATGTGATGCCATATCAATAACCTTTCGAATGATTTTAAACATATGAGGAATTCATTTTTGGCTCTATTTTAGAGTAACCAGCTTGTAGACAATCTCTTTCTTCACATTAAAGAATTTCAGATTCGGCTTGACAAACCATCAATGTCTTAAACTACATTTGAAATCTTTTTGCACCCATCATGAAACCTCATGACCAAATTGTATCAATCAAGGTTTCAAACATATCCGACTTGTCCGATGCATTTAATTAAGAAAATATGGTCCTAAAGTTTGGTTCTAAACACTATATGAATGGATAGGCTCATCTAAGTCTTAAAAAGTTACTTTTTCGCCTAGTAAAGTGTAATATGTTCACTTAAGATAGACCACGATAACATTAGCAATCATCAAAACCATTAATTATCCATTGTATGGTGGCAACTAGTAAGAAGGCTTGAATTTTAATGAGTGTTTACTTAGAGTAAAATTCATCGAGAAACCACTACTAACTCCTTAAATATTGAGGCAAAATACATATAGTTTATTATCATACAAATACAATGATGTGTGTGGGACACAACTCCATATCCAATCTCAAATATAAAATTAAATAATAAAAAGTAAACCATTAAAAAACTATAAAAAAAATTAATGCAAATATCATATATACATATAAACATATTATCATAACACACATAAACACACAAACGATTAAAAGATAATCATTCACTCAAAACATATAGGCATAGAAACATAATCATATAACCAAAGATTTTTTAATTCATGCATTCAAAGCTAGATCCTAGCATAGCATCTCTTTAGTGGCATCACTAAAGCTGTTGACGTAGGCATGGGCTTAGGCATAGTCTCTACCTAACAATCAAGAGAACTAAAAACTCTAAAATAAACTAATCTACACAAATATATGGATAACGGATGGGGTATATAGGGGAAGATAAATATCACCACCATCACTTCCTACCCGAGGTAGGTTGCATTGTATGCATGTTAAAACTAAATTCTAGTCTTACTATGACATGGTTTTATATTTATTTGAATAAATTTATTTTATTAAGATAAATTGATCGAGTAATTAAGGGTTTGGCTCTGTCAAAGGTCTATACTCATACTCTAAGATTAAATATGGATAGAAATTATAATTTTGGCTAACATCTAGCGGTCTGTAAACCTATATCGATAAATAGGTGAGCCTCTAACGATTAAAAGCTCATATTGATAACTTCATCCATATAAATGTGATGTCACCACCAACTTCGATTCATAAGATTAGGAAGCTATCGATAACTTCATCCACATTGGTGGTAAGCCATTGACAACTTTGGTTTACAAAATTAAGAAGCCACTAACAGCTCTACCTATATAAATGGAAAGTCACCAACAGTTTTGGTTCATAAAATTAGAAAGACACTAACAACTTTATCCACATAAATGAGAAGCCATTGACAACTTCAAATCACATCATTTACAAAGTCACCGTTGATTTCAAATCACATCATAAGAAAGTATTTGACGACTTCATCCACATAAGTGGAAAGTTACTATCGACTTCAAATCATATCAAAAAAGGTAAAATTATTCCTAAATACGTACATCGAGATCAAAACTTGTCTCAAATAAACCATTAAAGTTAAAGCCCATGCTCATTCCTTCCATCTTCATCATAAAGCATTGATCATCAATATTATTACACCTTAAAATACCCGAGGTCTTTTACCCTTTTGGGTTTGATACGTAATATTGTATCTAAACACATGTCAAATCTCATACATATATATCATAAACATCTCATCCATTTAAAATTTTAATCTAAACGTATTTGAATTTAGCAAATTATAATTACTATACAAAGGTTTTGAGAACTTACCTAAGCGACCAACTAGGTGATGATGAAACTACTAGTATGTCATCGAGTATAAAATACCTAAATTACCCTTTTATGATCAATTCTATTCTTATCGATCTTGAAGAAGACTAAATTGTTTTAGTCAACCGAGAAAAAATAGATGGTCGTTGAAACGTTTCTATGAGATGACCAAAACACCCCTAATATGTAGTGAAATTACCAAAATATCCTTAGGATGAATCTAGAAAGTCAACGAGTCTTTAGCGCATGTGAACATATGCTTGTCAAATTTACCAAACTACTTTCAAAACCCCACTTCACTACCAACAACTCCGGTCATCATTCGACCTCTTTCTAGCGCGTCTTTAGTCGGGGAAGGAATGACTACACCTTCTCAACATCACTATGAAGGCCGTGTTCCACACGGCTAACTAGAGGAGGGGGAACGACGAGTCACCGATGATTGTCATGGTATCCACCTCGCTTGATCATGATTTCGACCATGACAAGGGAAGAGGAAGGTCCTAATAACCTAAAAGTCCTCATGCAAGTTTGTCTTTGGTGGTTTGGAGGTCTAATTTGGTCTAGATCGGATGATAGAGATGGATTTCAAAAATAGGTCGGGACTTGGATTCTCCTTTGATTTGGTTGATTCTAGTGAGTTTTTGTTAGGATTTTGAGTGGGATCGATGTTTAAGAGAATGGAGGATGTTTTTATAGAGGTGGCAATTGTCGGTTTGGTCAAAAAAATGAGATTTGGTTGGGTTCTAAAAACGGAGTTGGGCATGGCTTATTCCTTCAATTTCTAGCCAACTTTGTTGTTTTCCTTCGCTCTAACAAGTTGAGAAAGGTTGATTTGGGGTTGGGTTTTGAGCTTATCGTGGTTATTGAAGGGATGGTGTTGGATGGAGAGTGGTGGTTTTAAAGCGAGAGAGTAGGGGTGATCAAACGGTTCGGTTAACCGAAAACCGAATTAAACCGGACCGAATTGTGAAATTTGGTATGGGTATAAATTAAAAAATGTATAATTTATAACCGAACCGAAAAAACCAAAATAATTTACGTTCGGTTTGGTTTTTTTTTTAAGAAACGGTTTGAACCGAAAATTGTTTTTTTTTATTCCTAATTCTAATTCGAATAAGTGAATAATATCTAAATACCTAATCATCTAACCCTAATTCGCTATCTCACACTCGGACACTCGGTAGCTCTCTGCCTCCCTCTCCGCCTCCGACTCTCCCTTTCCTCGTCTCCCTTACCTGGACCCGAGTTACCCTTAGCCGCCTCTTTCGTCTTTCCTTTCCTTTTGAGGCGGACGAAGTCACGCGGCAGCCGGTTAGCCACGGTCGCCGCCCGGAATTCCAGCAAGCTTGCCGACGACGAGCAAAATCGGTCTCTCTCGTTCTCGTCTCTCGCACTCTCAACACAAGTCTTCTGCTGTCGTTCTTCACTCTCCGGTCTCCACTCCAGGTGACGAGCAAGTCTTTCTTCGTCTCTCGCACTCTCGGCCTTTCACGGATCTCGCACTCTCAAAGCCTCACTCTTCTTTGCTCGTTCTTCACTCTCCACTCCAAGGTGACGGCAAGTCCTTTAGGCTCCAATCCTCTTCTAATCTTCCTTCGTCAAGCTTCGTGTCTTTCAAGGTTAGTCTCTTTTATTTTAATTTTTTTTGCTCGATATGTGATAACAACGGTGTATTAGGTATATATTATGTTGTTTTTTAGATTCCTTAGTGAGTTTTGATAACTGTGGTGTTATCTTGGTTGGAAGCCCGAAGCCTTGCCTTGAAATGTTTATTGTGTCCCGTTGGCATCCGTGATCCGTTTTCCTTTTTGGTTGCTTGGAGTATGTGATTCCGCACTTTATTTGCGTTACTTTGGTTATCAAGCTCGTGTTTTGGTTTTAGCTAGGGTAAGGGTGACGGTTTGTTCATGTCTAACTCCTATTTTCTTTTCTCTTCTTTGTTTGTTTCGGCATTTTTCTGTTTTAGCTAACATGGTTATCAAGCTTCCCATTCTACACTTTATGTTGTTTTCTCTTTTATTGATTGTTTTCCTTTCTTTCCTTTCAAATGAATAATGAAATGATTACTTGTTCCGGATGGGATTAGCACACGCCACCACTAGGAGGTATTTTTCCAAGGCTAGGAGCTACTGTCCGTATTGTGTTTGGCACGTTTTTATGTGACTTTGAATTTACAAGAACTTGAGAGGTTGGTGATTTTGTTGAAACCAAAGAAGGTGGTGGCGGGATCCTTGCTTGAGCTAGATTAGCCCCGATTGAGAGAAGCGATACTAGTGCGGACATTGTGCGGATAATAGCGAACCGATCTCAAACGACTAGATTTCATTGCTTTCTTGGCTCATAAGATGTCTTCTATGGAGTGAAAAGGAGGACTTGTGTAGTTATGTTTGCTTGCAATAGCATATATATAGAGAGACGAGAGAGGGAGGAAGAAATATTTTCTCCAATATTTTTGTTTTTGCTTTTGGACTAGAAGGTTTATCTCTTTTTCCAATTCAAAATTTGTGTGTGAGGCATGTGATGGATCTTTGACTATTCGAGCTTCCAAGTTCCAAAGCAAAACCTAAACTCGCAGATTTGGTTAGTAAGTTTGTTAGTATAATTTATCGGTCATGTGATTAAATAGTGTCATGATTGGTTAGTGAGTTTGTTAGTCTAATTTATTAGTATAATAGTGTCATGATCGATCTGTTTTAGCTAACATGGATCCTCCCCTAGTGGTGCTAGTCTCGGTTACCATGTAGAGGACGGGAAATGGGAAGCTTGGAAACAATCAATAAGGTAGCAAATGGATGTATGGAAATCGGAATCGGTTGAAAGGAAAGACTAAAGAGCACGTGAGGATGTGAATGGTAGACGTTAGGGAGGGAGTTGAGTTAGTAAGCTAACATGGCAAGAGTTGGTTTGGTCGTTAGATTGAGAGGGAAAGTTAGTTAGAAATAAACACTCGTATAAATCATGAGTAATTCATTGTAAAAGGGCTATTCTGTCATTTTAGATCAATATTGAATTTACTCTTCTTGCCGATTTCTCTATTGATTACTTTATTTTCTCGTTCTTTTTGCTTGGTTCTTGATTTGCATAACTAATTCTAAAATTGATAGTTGTTAAAATCTTTAATCGTTGTTAATCTTCATTTAGTCTTGAAAGAATCATTAAAACCTGTAATTCATCATTTCATTTAGAATTTGGCATCACACAAGTAAAACTAAGCTAAATTCTTATCCACAAAGAACTCGTCCATTGTTGTTAAGCAATCTTTCTTCATTTATCTTCTCATTTTCTCTCTTTTAATCGCATACATATAACCGAAAATTGGATAGATGAAATGAATGCTTAAAATTTCTACATAATTAAATTAATAGAGTTTAATTACCGAATGAATTCGAAAAAAAATGAACATACCTTTTCATATACCCATGTAATTTTAATAGCATTTGTTTTGTGTATGAAAGCTATTAAGCTATTTATTTTAGGGTTAGACTACTTTTTTGTTTGCTACTGATTTAAGGGAGGATCTTCTAGAATTCTACCCAACTTTGGTACTTGTCTAAGTGTCTACTCGTCTTCACTCTTCATTATGGACGAGTTGGACACACCTTTTGTTAAGGCGAGGCGGTAGCATCCGCCTATATTTGATTTTAGGGTTAGACTACTTTTTTGTTTGCTACCGATTTAGGGGAGGATTTTATAGAATTCTACCCAATTTTACTATCGTCTAAGTGTCTAACCTGTCTTCACTCTTCGGCATGGATAGTTGGACACACCTTTTGTTAAGGCGAGGCGTAGCATCCGCCTATATTTGATTTGAGGGTTAGACTACTTTTTTGTGGTTATCAACGAGTAGGCAGTTCCATTCCATATTATGCTACCAATTTGGCAACTTGTGTATATTTATTATGTTTTTTTGATTATTTAAGAGTGTGAAGCTTAATACTCTTGTTCCTTTGTTATTTATGTAGATGTCACAATCTCAATCCGAAGAGATGAATTATGAACATGTGAGTTCAAGCAATCCCAATACACAATCAAGTGTAGGTGTAGGTCCAACTTCAATTAACAATCAAGAAGATGTCAAAGGAAAGAAGAGGAAATCAATAAAGCCAAGATCGATGGTGTGGGACCATTTCATAAAGTTTGAAGATGAAAATAAAGACATATTTGCTTGTAATCCTTCAAAAAATGGGACAACCTCACTTAGGTCTCATATTTTGACTTGTAAAAAAAACCCTTTTAGTTGTATTGACTCTACACAAACTCAGTTAGACCTTAGAAGGCTTGAAGTGGGAGAAAATAGTCTTAGCACATGGAAGTTTGATCAAATTGTTAGTAGAAAAGATTTAGCCGAAATGATCATTCTAGATGAACTTCCATTTAAGCATATAGAGGGTAGGGGATTCAAAAAGTTTTTGTCTAATTTGCAACCTAGATTCAAACTTCCATCTCGTTTTACAATTTCAAGAGATTGCTATCAACTTTATTTAGATGAGAAAATAAAGTTGAAGCAATTTTTGAAACAAAATAGTCAAAGAATTAGCCTCACTACGGACACATGGACATCCATTCAAAGAATCAATTATATGTGTTTAACTCGCTCATTTTATTGATAATGATTGGAAGTTGCATAAAAAGATCTTGAATTTTTGTCCGATTGATAGTCATAAAGGAGTAGATTTAGGTATTGCCATTGAGAAGTGCTTGATTGATTAGGGAATTGAGAAGGTTTTTAGTGTTACGATCGATAATGCAAGTTCGAATGATGTGGCAATTAGACACTTAAAAGATGTGATTAAGAATTGGGGTTATAGCATCTTAGATGGAGAATTCATTCATATGAGGTGTATGGCACATACTTTGAATCTAGTTGTTGTCGATGGGTTAAAACATTTTAATCCTTCGATCGTTCGTATTCGATCGTACTGTTAGGTTTGTGAGGCAATCTCCAGCTAGGTTGAGAAGATTTAAGGAATGCATTCAACTTGAGAAAATTAATTCTAAGAGTTTGTTACAACTAGATGTCGCAACTAGGTGGAATTCAACATATTTGATGTTAGAGTCGGCTCTAAAGTTTGAGAGAGCTTTTAAGAGATACGAGCAAATTGATCCTTTATATAGGAGTGAATTTGATGTAGATCTTGGTGATAATGTTGTTGGGCCACCTAATGTGGATGATTGGAAGACTTGTAAGAAGATGGTAGGCATGTTGAAAATTTTTTACAACCTTACTTTGCGCATTTCGGGTTCCTTATATGTGACTTCAAATATTTTTTTTGAAGAGATTTATGCGCTTGAACATGTTTTCAAAAAATGGCAACGAAGTAAGGATTTGGATGATTTTGCATTGGCTAATAAAATGAAGGAAAAGTTTGAGAAGTATTAGGGGGATATTAAAAAAATGAATAAGTTGATTTATATTGCGACAATACTTGATCCTAGGCATAAACTTGTATTTATTGAATTTTCAATCAAGGAATTGTATGGTGATTTAGAGGGTCAAAATATGTCAAATATTGTGAAGGGATCTATAAATGCCATGTATGATTTCTATTGTCGTTCATCATCTCAAGATGAAATTGGCCAAACTAGTGGGAGTTGGGGAATAGATGTGAATTGTGCAAATAAAGAAATGATTGATGAAGAAAATAGAATAAAAATGGAGATAATGATGCGTTTTGAAAAATACAAGTATGATATTGGAAGTGGAGGAGATTTCTTGATGAAAGTGCTGAAAATAATAAGTGCTGATTTCAAGATTTTAGAGTGGTGGAAAACCAATGCTCCTCGGTTTCCCATCCTTTCACAAATGGCTAGGGATGTATTAGCGGTTCCTGTTTCTACAGTCTCCTCGTAATCGACATTTAGCACCGGAGGAAGAGTTCTTGACTCGCTTTAGGAGTTCTTTAACTCCTACCTTAGTGGAATCTCTTATATGTGCTCAAGATTGGATTAAAAATTCATCGACGCCAATTATTATTGAAGAAAATTTACAAGATGTAGAGAAAATGCAAAATGGTAATTTCTATAACTCTTATCATTTAATTTGTTATTTCTTTCCTATATATTAATGATAAAGGGTTAATTTTTTTATCTTTTATTTTTCGAGTTACCAATTGCCGGTGCCACTAACTCTACTACAAATGTTTGATGGGTTGATTACTCGATAGTGTTTTGGCTTTTTAAATCATATGTGTAAGTTATTAAGTTTTTAAGATTGATTTTTTTATTTCGTTGCTTATGCATGGTTGGATGTTTGACTTGCATTGGTCAATGCTATCGGCCTACTCGCCTACTCGACCTTGAATTAAATTTTCATTACACATATTAAGGCCGTCCAAGTGTCCATTGGATGTCCGACGATGTCTAACGCTCCGAGCCGACCAACCGTTGAAGGAGGCTCAAAGGCTCAAGGTTGTCCAAGGTTACAAGCAAGACTCTTTATTGTGAGAAATTTTCTTTATGGTTTTTGGATGTGTAGTCATTTCTAATCTAGATTTTGGTATGTAAGTATGTTGTATTGTTGATGAATCTTTCTTTTTTCTTTTTTTACGTTCTTTGAGGTGTTGGATCGTTGGTAGTCAAAGACTCAAAGTTTAAGTAAGAATGTTGAATGTTGCTTTCCATATTTCCATATTTGTTGAATGTTGTATGATTTGTATCTCGTCAATATTTGGCTATTTGGTGCGTCCGATGTGTCCGGTTGATTGGTTCCGCTTAATGCCGTCTACCTTCTAGTGTTTCGTGATTCCGTCTATCGCCTTCCGATTGCTACGTGTTTATGTCCGCTTCGCCTAGTGCCTTCGGTTCGTTGCGTCCGGTTTGGTGAGTCTAGTGCATTCTTTTTATTTTTGAGTTTATTGATTTTAGATGAGTTGTTTAGTTTTCTTGCAATTTTAGACTTTGATTTGTTGTTTGTTGGGTGATTAGGATTGGTTCTATTATACGAGCAATGCCGATATTTGTCATGATGGTTGATGGTGGCCAATTAGCCAATCACATATTAGCCTTGTGGTTGTTTCTTTATGTGAATGGTCAATAAGCTTACCGAAAGCGGCTCCGTGCCTCTCGTTAGAGCGAGTTACTAGGTTAGCATCCAATTTATGGTCATCAATCATGTTATCCTTGGAACCTTCTCGTCGAATGTTTTGGAACTTTCATTGTTGTCTTAGTTCACTATCTTGGAACTTTGATTGTCATCTTAGTTTATAAATGACTTGCAAACAATTTTAGGATGTACTATTACATTTTTTTAATACTAAATTAGTTTCTAATACCATAAAAATAAA